CTGAAAAACTCTTGGTTTCATTATTACTTTGACTATTCAATAGCAAGCAAGAGGAATCCTCTGTTGTCTTAGTATCTAATTTAAAGACGAATTTGTCGCAATGTCAGTAGGATTATTACTGACAGTCATGTCAATAGAAGAGTGCTCAATAGGAGCACTCTGGTTAGCCAAATTTTTGGCTGTTATAGAAAAAAAATATGATAGCGAAATAGCTATTTGTCTCTTATAATAATTGGAAAGATAATATTTATCTTTAGTCAAATAAAATTTTCTAACATACTTGTTAGTGTCAATGACATGAAACTTTGCAGTATTGCATATAGTGTGCAATGTCATATTCAATTTGTATCGCAAATTATTTTCTTCATTGGACAAACTATTGCAATACGGCAACGTAAAAATCACGACTTTCCCAACACTTAATGAATTTAATTCGTTTATATATTTCAATAATTTATGTTTGTTCAAAGTACCTCTATTGCCATTAAAAAACAATAAAGTGGTATTTTCGCTGTAGTTTTGTTTAATTGCTTTTTCCAAAATATCATTAAAAGAGGAATTAGGCATACAGAAGTTTAATGTTGAATGGCCCTTATCGAATAGCAAACGGCCCATGTTTCTGCCAATTTCATCACTGAACATTAAAATATTATTTTTATAATTTTGTGAATTTATTCTGTGACGTTGGGAAAATTGTGATGGGGAGCAGTCATCAGTAACAGATGACTGAACAGGTACCTGAGTAAACAGTTGTGACTGGTGGGCAGATGACTGACAGGGTTTCTGTGTAACTGTATTTATAAATTGTTTCTGAATATTATTATTGTTATTGTTACTAAAGCTGTTATTTGTTTTGTTAATTAATTGTTTATTATTTAACAGTGAATGGTAACGGTCAGCATTGTAATTGCATAGGTTAACCAACTCTGTGGCAGACCTAATATGCTCATCAATCTGAGACTGTGCAACTAAATATTTATTTTGTATTAATTCTATTGATTCATGTAATTTTTTTATTTCAAATTGAAATTTTTTTGTATCCCGGTCATACATCTGCCGACTTTCACATAATTTATCACTATATATTTCCAAAGAATCCATTAGACTACTGCGTTGTTTCCTCAAGGCAATATTTTTATAAAAACAATTATTCTTCTTTATCAATCTCTCAGTTTTCTGGATAACTTTTCCAATTTTAATATATTTCTTAAGTTTCCTAGTACTTAAATTAAAATTGATCTGACTCTTAGAGTGTATATCACAGGCTGTTAGTTGATGCCTCATCGACTGACCTCCAGGTGATGCTACCAGTTCTTCAAAAAGACTTTGGGTGTATTCTGCTTCATGTTCTTTTTGTTGTTCGAGCAGTAGTAGATTCAAATTTGAATAAAATGGAGGGGCAGAAGTAAGTATTTCAGCATATGATTTATGTACAGGTGGGTGAAGTTTCAAAGCCTCTGCATAAGAAATGCAGTTCTTAGCCATACTCTCCTTAATACATTTTTGTCTTGAGAATTCAGGACACTTTCTACTAGTAGCCATATGAGAACCAGAACATAGACAACATTTAAAATTTTCTTCTTCTACAGCACAATTATCACCAGAGTGTCCTGATCCACATTTGAAACACCTTGAAACTGACCGGCATTGTGATTTTATATGGCCATACCTGCAGCATTTGTAACATTGTATGGTAGGGAAAATATACAAGTCCACAGGAAGAGAATTGTAACATAAGAATATCCTTTTAGGCAAAACTTGCCCATCAAATGTCAAAATCACTGTTTCTATAGGAATAAAATCAGTTTTACCATTATTTACGACTTTTTTTTTAATCCTTCTAATTTTAAGAATATCTCCACAGCCTATTGGTACTGAAATGTTGCTCATTATATCATCATCTGTCCAATCTATAGGTACACCTCTCACAACTCCCATTCGAGTAATATTGTGAGTAGGAATAAAGGCCTTGTAGTTATTCAATTTTAGATTACTACTATTAACAAAATTATTAGCATCTTGGAAATTTGAAAACGAAATTGAGGCTTTATTCCTACCGATTTTTTTCAGACTACCGTTGATTATGTTTTGGAAAGAATATTTTTTCAAAAAGCGTCCTAATGAAACTGGGTGTATTGTATTATTTTCACTACTAGATGTAGGTTCTCGTTGAATATATACTATAAAAGGAGCTGCATCTGAAGCTTGATATTGAATTCTACCAATAGGTACACGAGAAGTGTTATCTAAAACTTGAGATGAATGTGGCAGAGACACCTGTTCCGGTACCGAGTGGGAAGCTTCAACATCTTTTATACCAATAAATTTATTACTAGGTTGAGAAACATCACAGTGACAGTCAATATTTGTAAGCGAAATGTGATCAGAAACCTTGTTTTGACTTCTCTTCTTCCTTTTATAGCAGTGTTTGCATATTTTTCGTGATGACGATCTTTTGCGCTTGGGATTATGATTAGAATCAGAACAATTCGTATCAAATAGAGATCCTTCAGTATCCATTTCAGAGGCATTGGTGATCGTAACAAAATTAGACGCCTGGGGGGCTGACCCCCCAGGGTCATCTGGATCGTTCATGGAAAACAATATGATAGACTTACCAGAACTCGAAGTATTAATATAAAAATAATAGAATATACACAAATACACTAAAATAAAATAAATTTACACTAATTATAAGTTCCACTATCCAAATTATTAATTAAAAACTAGAAATCAAAAAAAAAGACAACCCGCTTCTTCAAAGTTTCCCGCGCTTTCCTACAGAATAGAGCTGTAGAAAATCGTATGTATTCGGTACTGAGTAACGGGTGCGCCGTCTAGTACCGAGTAACGAAACGTTACTCACGAATGCATTTCGTTACTCGCATTTTTCGTATATACCAAGTACCAATACTTTTTCAGTTTACGTACTAGTGCCGTTGATGCGCTTGTTGATGGTATCTGCCTACCGATATTACGCATGCGGCCTTTGCGCGCGCTTATTCGAGGAGTTTAAAATGTAGGTACGTTACAAAAAACGACGTTTGTTATAGAATAATTTGGAAATTACTCGTCCAAGTATTTTACTGTTGAGTAAAAGTATTGTGTGTATAAAAGTTTGATTTTGGTACAGAAACAAGTTCAGAAAGTATTAATAACAAAATAGAAATAGGTATATGTTTTGATTTATTATTATTGCGTATTTTCTTTTTTAATTCTTATCTTTTAAGGATTATTATGATTAAGACACTTGAGTTTTAACTATTTATTGCATGAGGCAATATCTAGAAGAACGCATTATTTTTTATACCCCGAACTTTCAAATATGTCTGAGAAATATTTATCAGTGATGACTACCTCGGTACCATTTGAAAGGATTTTTTCCAAATCGGTCCAAATATTAAAGGAAAAGATTTTATTTTTAAATATGAACTATAGATTTCTGCCCTAAAATGTCTAATTTTATTATAAATAAATGATTTTCTACTCCCATTTGGTGCTTTTGAATTATAACACTTTTCAGTACTTATTTAAGTAACGTTACTACAAATAACGAATGTTGCGATATCATATTGTACGATTCGATTCGTAGCTCTGACATAAATATGAGGTATTGGAAGTAACGTGTAACGTAACGATACGAAAGTAACGAGTAATGATTTTTAGAGTAACGAATACATACGGGTACAGATTTATTCGTTACTTTTACAGCTCTACTACAGAAAACCTCCGCTCGACTTTGGTTATGTTTTTTTTTAAAGTTTTTAATAAAATAACAGAGTTTTGTTTCTGAGCCAATCCAAGCGCCAACATGGCAAATATTTGACCAAATATACGATGTGTAAACATAACATCAGTTGAAATATTAGTAGAGATTAGCAATAAAGAAATACATAACGTAAAGTTTCTTTTATTTTATTAGGGTGTGTGGTTCGATTCAGATTTATCTTTTACACAACACTATAATATAATTTGTTACAAAGTTAGCAGAATGCTTGTTTCTGTAATGGGACCATTCAAGTAATTCGGAAACCCAAGCTACTCAATATTGTCCACGTCTTTAGTCGGAAGTATATTGGAATATTGTTCTAGTATTTGGTCACCGACGTATAACAACCACATCAATAGAATAGAAGCTATTCAGTGCCGCTTTTTGAGAATATACTTTATTAGGTTTGGTGTGAGACGTAGATTACCAGATTATAACGATCTGTATAAACATTTTTCATTACTCAGCTTGGAGAAGCGCAGAGGGGTAATTGATTTGATTATCTTACATAAAATAATAAATGATGAACATTGTGACCAACTTCTAAATCAGGTTAATTTTAAAGTATCTAATAGATTTCTAAACCGTTTAGTGTATCGGGTAATAACAATAACGTCTTAAAAATGACGTCTGCCTCTTTCACGTATGTGTCATACGTATAATAATTTATATACTTTTGGAGATGTATTTGATCTATTTAATTGTAGTTATCGTTCTATCAAAGTTTCATACGGTGTGATATTTTTTAATATGATAGTTTTATGTTATTTCAGGTTTTCATTTTCTGTTTAGAAAACAAAAATCTTGAACTTGTGCTGAAATAATTATTTGTTTGATGTGGTGTCAGTGCTGCTGTGTCATTCTGTTGGGTAGAATAAGCAATAATTTTCATTTTGATTTACTTCGATGTTCACATGTGATATGGAAAATCTTGTTTTGCTTCTGTGTGCTACGATGTAGTGGATATACTTCTGTCAAATCACTTGTTCACAGAGTATAAAATCAGTTTTCACACAGAATTGGAACTACGTTTATTCTGATTTGTACCGATGGAATTGACAACGTCTTCATTGATTTTTTTTATGAATTATACAAAACAATTATATTTATTACGATTATTACTGGAACATAGATTTATAAAATAACCTGGAAGATTTAAGTATAATGAACATTTAATATTCTGTTATTGTACCTCAAACAATAAAATAAAAATTATATAAAACATAGTTACCATCTCTGGCTTTCGCAGCGAGCGCATTGATTGCTAGCTCAATTCTTGGATAATCCATAGACTCAACATTCCGCAGTACTGGTACGACTAAACCTCTTGGCGTTGCTACAGCTACAGAAATATCTACGTAATCCCTGGTGAAATAGATATATTTCAAAGATAACGAAAGAACAATCATTTTGTATGAAATAGCTGAGGGAAACAGAAAATATCAACAACATAACATGCTTAATTGTCGAAGGAGACACTTTCTGTGTTCTGTACACAGAAAGATGAAGAAGTGTTTCTAATCATCCTTTATTAATACTCGTATAATTAAAAGTAATGTGAGGTGTAAAAATGTTGGCAGACTTTAGAAAAAAAAAAAAAATTAAGGGTGAGTGCTATTCTGTTAAAATTAAAGCGTTGAATACAGCGTTATCACAGCCTTATGAATAAATAGGAACATCTTTCGTACTTTTCGTACTCTAGTAAAAAAAAAAATATTGAGTTACTCCTGCTTGGTTTCATACAATTACCTACAGTGTTTGGTGAATTTAACTAAGCACTAGTTCTATATAAAACAGCCTTCAATAAATATTCTTAATTTTACCTATATATAATATCTTCCCCTATAATGACACTATTGATGACGGGCTGGTCCATTAATGCGTTGGCACATGCCTTTAAGAAAGGAGACATGAAAGACAACTTCACGCCATATTTCTTCGTGAAAGCTTCCAGATTCGCTTTGCGGAATGCCATCAACTTACTGAAGATGACAAAAATTATTTAATCTATAAAAATCCATTGATAATTGAAGATTGCAGACTCTTTAATATAATATATGCAAATCGCATAAAAATCCGTTGTGTAATTTAAAAGATGTCAGAGTACAGGCAGCAGTCAGTGACTTAGTTTTACGGTAGTTCATTATTTTTTTCTTTCCTTCTTTCTAAAGTTAAATTATTGAAAGAATTTCGAAATTGACATAACGTCTAAAATATGGTAAAAGCCATTTGTCAGCCACTCCAAAATCAACCATTTCTAGATACTTATTGTGGTATGAACTTATAGAAACTAATAGAAAATTTAAAGGCATATCTTTGTATTAACTTAAATGGCGGGAGTGCCTATGTTAAAGTTTTTGATTTTGGTATTGAATTACCGAACTAAGTTTAGTTTATGATGTTAATTTGAATGTAAATCTCGCCTCATATCACATTCGTTGAAGGTGGTAAGCATAGCTGTAGTATTTTGCGCTTCTTTCAACCTCTCAGAAATCCTCTTGCGCATCTTGTTCATCGGTACAGGGTGCTCTGTACGAGTCCCTGATATGGTCTTTGTTGGATCGCCTATTTTTATAGAGGCAGCCTATAAAATGATATAAAGAAGCAAAATCAATTAAATTCAACTGAAAAAAGCATTTAAAACAAAGAGCTTTTATAAGCTTTAAAAGATACGGGAATTTCCATATAAAAATTATGGAATGCTGATACTTTTTAAATCTCTAAAATAGTTTAGCTTCTCTTGTTTTCATTTAAAAAGGCTATATAATTCACACATGGCTCACAGTTGGTCCCGCAGCCTTCTTAGCAGCGGCTGGCTTGGCGGCAGCTTTGGCAGGCGCTTTGGCAGCTGGTGCTCTGGCGGCGACAGGAGCTGCCGCCGCTGGTGCTGCAGCGGGTGCTGCGGCCTTGGGTGCTGGCGCAGCTGCTGCGGCTTTCACTGGTGCCACTCCAGTCACGTCCACCTGGCAACAACAGTTTTGAGATTCTTATTATTATAATCTTTAAGGGCAAACCGTTGCAACAAAGGTAGCAGTAATTCCGAGAATACAAATAGATAGAATAAAACATCATAACAGAATTAAAAGTCGTAACTTAAATAAAACACTCCTGCCTATATCGAACTAAAACTAAAAGAAACAATATTGATTTCTTATATATTCACGCGCACTATCCATAAATTAAACAATTTTTTCATTTATTTGAACACGGAACCTGTAAAGGATCTGAAACGTTTAAAACTAAGTACAAATGCGATGAAACCGTTAAAAAGTTGTGGCAACCCACATCATATCTATTATTTTTATTACCATTATAATATTACAATTTATACTTACAAACTAATATACAATAAAATTAACTTACACTAATATTTACAACTTACATTCTAAAACTTAATAAAAACTTATATCTATATATTTACAGTATAACAAATATTCATTAAATAAAATCTATATATAATACACACATAATAAGCAAGAAAATAAGTAAGAACGTAATCTAATAAAATCTTTGGCATAGCATTATAACGCACGAACATAGCTTGGCGCGGTATAGTAGCCGCCTTACGCACTTCTATTGTTCGAGTTTTTATACTTTCAAATGGTAGTCCGGCGGCGCGCGACCCTCCGATCGACAGTGATAAACTGACCACAACGCGAAGCGCATATCGCTCAGATCGATACGCAACACACTCGTATGCTCACGCGCCGACATTTATTACGAAACCGTATTATTATTTCACCTCCTTTTGCACACCTTCCAAAACATCGGAGATACCTCAACACCCAGCCATCTCCAAACTTGTGACCCCGAGCAGTACGCGAGTGCATAATGGACGGGGCCGGTAGCGGTAAGAATGTTCACGACAAAGGGCGCGACTACAGCACAAGCGATGCGAGCGATGTTTATCGCGTTGGTGTACGGAACATCCCATTCTACCCGGACAAGCCATCACTATGGTTTTCAATGATTGAAGGTCAGTTCGCTTTGGCAAATATTACCTCTGACTCCACAAAATTTTACCATGTCATCGGCATGCTGGACCATCAATATGCAGTAGAGGTAGAAGACGTCATCGAATCTCCACCTGAAAGCGATAAATATGGTAAACTTAAGTCTGAGCTAATTAAGCGGTTATCAGCGTCCAAACAGCGCAAGGTCAAACAGCTTCTGGACCATGAGGAGCTAGGTGATAGGAAGCCATCACAATTCCTAAGGCACCTGCAACATCTCGCTGGTTCTGGAATACCAGAAGACTTCATCCGCACCATATGGAGCAGCAGGTTATCCAGCAGTATGCAAACTATTATCGCTTCTCAGCTTAAGCTTCCGCTAGATAGTTTAGCCGACCTTGCTGATAGCATACATGACATAGCGCCACCATCTCCGCACGTAGCTTCAACTTCCGCTTTACCTTCTGCTTCATCATCTCACCACATTCAAAGCCAAGAGGACAAGATCGACAGGATGGCAAAGCAGATCGAAAGATTATCGCAACAGGTACACGCACTAACAATGAAGAACGACTCATCTAGATCCAAGCATAAAGGAAACAACAGGTACCAGAATCGTAGCCGTAGTAGATCACAATCGACTTACCGGAAGTATCCTATTTGTTGGTATCATGCTAAACATGGTAGGATGGCTAGCAAGTGCCAGAAGCCATGCGACTATGAGTCGGAAAACTCGCGGGGCAGTCGATAATGGCGACTGACGATTGCCCTAACACCCATGGTCGCCTCTTCGTCACGGACCGTCACTCAAAAGCCCAATTCCTAGTTGATACCGGGAGTGATTTGTGCGTTTATCCTCGCGCGGCACTTAAAGAGAGACGATCAAAATCAAAATATGAGTTGTGCGCGGCCAATGGCACTGTGATTAATACGTATGGGCATGCTAACTTTAAATTAGATTTAGGGTTAAGAAGAGACTTTGTTTGGCGTTTTACTATTGCTGATGTCAACAAACCAATTATTGGCGTCGATTTCCTATCACATTTTAATTTAATTGTAGACGTTAGAAATAAGAGAATACTTGATAATGTTACATCATTAAAAGTCACAGGCGTGTCAGCAGACAAGTGTAGTAGCGTTTCATCCGTCAAAATGAACGTAGGCAATTCGCGTTATCACCGAGTTCTTGCAGAATTCCCGGAATTAACCCGACCGGCAGGTACTCCACGCGTCACACTGCACAAGACCGTTCACTATATCCGCACTACCCCAGGACCGCCAGTAGCTAGCACACCCCGGCGTTTAGCGCCTGATAAATTAAAAATCGCGAAACAGGAATTCGAAATAATGATCCAGAATGGTACTGCACGACCATCAGACAGTCCCTGGTCATCTCCCTTGCATCTGGCTCCCAAGAAAGACGGTTGGAGGCCTTGTGGAGATTATCGGATGTTAAACGCCCGAACTGTCCCCGATAGGTACCCTGTGAGGCATATTCACGATTTCTCTCACAACCTCGCAGGGTGTAAGATCTTCTCCACCGTCGATTTAGTGAGAGCTTATAATCAGATCCCAGTACATAGCGATGATATCCCCAAAACGGCGATCACCACACCCTTCGGTCTCTACGAATTTCCCTTTATGACCTTTGGCCTGCGTAATGCAGGCCAAACTTTTCAGAGATTCGTAAATGAGCTGACGCGGGACATGGATTTTGTTTATCCTTATTTGGATGACTTTTTGATATCCTCACCTGATGCTGACACTCATGAAAAGCATCTACGCCAGCTTTTTTCTAGGATGACCGAGTATGGCATATTAGTTAACACCTCAAAGTGCGTTTTTGGGGCATCGGAGGTCACGTTTTTGGGATATCGTTTATCAGCCAACGGCATTAAGCCGCTTGAGGAAAAGGTTCAGGCTATTCAGGAGTTCCCAGCACCTACAACCGTTAAGGAGCTTAGGAGGTACCTGGGAATGCTTAATTTTTACCGGAGATTAATTCCTCGAGCAGCTGAAGTACAGGCACCTCTTAACGCTCTGCTAACTGGTTCCGTCAAGGGTAACCACCCTGTCCAACTCAAAGGGGATTCACTAAAAGCCTTCGAAGCGACGAAAACCGGTTTATGCAATGCAGCACTGTTAGCGTACCCCGATTGCAGTTGTCGACTCGCTCTAACCACAGACGCGTCAGATGTTGCTGTAGGCGCTGTTCTCCAACAACGTAGAGAAGGCGCTTGGCAGCCACTTGCTTTTTATTCGTGCAAGTTAAGTCCATCACAGCAAAAATATTCCCCGTATGATCGCGAACTTCTGGTTATATACCAATCGATCAAATACTTGCGACATATGTTGGAGGCTCGAGACTTCACGATTTTTACCGACCATAAGCCTATCAGCTTTGCCTTCCATTCCAGGAAGACAAGCTGCTCACCTCGGCAATATCGGTATTTGGATTTCATATCCCAATTTTCCACCGACATCCAGCACATCGCGGGAAAAGAGAATGTTGTCGCAGATACCTTATCGCGCATCGAAGAATTAGAACCCAGTGTCGACTTCGATTCTATCGCTAAAGCTCAAGAGTCAGATATTGATCTCAAAAACATCCTCGAGAGCGGTTCTTCACTTCGGCTTGTTAAGATAAAAGTACCCGGGAGCCGGTTCGAACTGTATTGTGATAACAGCACCCAAACTCCCCGACCATTCCTCCCTAAAATGCTACGTCGTTAAATTTTCGACAGTCTGCATTCTCTTTGCCACCCCGGTACTAAAGCTAGCGCAAAACTAGTGGCGCAGCGTTTCGTTTGGGATGGTCTCCGAAAAGACTGCAGAGATTGGGCTAGGGCTTGTTTACCTTGCCAACAGTCTAAAGTCAATCGTCATGTGTCCTCACCTTTAGGTACTTTCCATCTGCCTAGTGCGCGTTTTAAGCACGTGCACATTGACCTGATTGGTCCCCTCCCCATCTCGCACGGTAACCGGTATTGTCTTACCGCAATCGATCGTTTTTCGCGATGGCCTGAAGCAATACCCATACCGGACATCATAGCCGGAACTCATTGCTAAAATAAACTAAACGAAATTCTCATTGCAGACTTCAAAAGAATTAATGATGTGTCCACTTTCTATGTTTCGATGTAATAAATAAATATAAGGTTATAATAAATAATTAAATATCAGATAAAAATTTGATGGTAATTTTTTCTTGTTTTTCAGTTATTTCTGTTTATTACGATTTTTTGAAGTCGGCTTAATTTTTTTTTAACGAGTATTGAAAATAAAAAAACATGTAATAAAAACAGAACCTAATCAAGAAATTGTTATAACGTGTCAAGCCGATCATTTCATTAATTTTTAGGTACGGTAAACTCTGTGGACGTTGCACCTGGAAGAGGGGTTGCTGCGACTTGACTGCATCACCGTCTTTGACAAGCATCTTGACTATGGTGCCGTTACCCGGGGACATGACCGGCAGTGCTGTCTTGTCTGTCTCTATCTCCAAGACCACTTCGTCCATGCCAACCGCGTCACCTTCTTTTTTTACTAATCTGCATCAATACAAATCTATAATTAGTATCTCTTAGTATAATTATTTAAACTTATACTACCGTATTTTTTATCTGCATAAACGAGTTATATAAGTTATATAAATTGCTCACTTTTTTTCTTATGCTAATGATACAGCTGGCATCTTCTCTGGGACATCGTGGATTGACGTGTAGAGTACACGTAGACAGAAAAGGGACTTCCGCAAATAGGTAATTGGTTGGACTGGAATCTACTAACCTTAAATGCTTCCGAAACAAATTACATCTGTTTTACTTTGACATACAATGCGCAACCATCAAGCAAATTTAAAATCAAAATACATAAGTGTGGCGTGACTTAAAAAATGACACCTGTAACTGCGACATCATTAATAAAATGAGTTCTCATAAATACTTGCGAATAATGTTAGACCAATATTTAAACTGGAACGTACATCTGGATCTGGTAACAGCCAGAGTAAGAAAGCCTAAAGTGAATTACAAAAAAGTAAGATATGTTGGAGACAACTTCTTCTCAACAAATTTACTTGGCTCTTGTACAATCTGTATTGGGTTACTATATCCCTGTATGGGGAGAAAGTGCTCAAACTAAATTATTAGAAGTGGAAAGGGCACAGGGATTGCTACTTAAGGTTTTGTACTTTAAAAAATTTAGATTTCCTACTACACAATTGTATAAAAATCGGTAATCTATTAACTGTTAGAAAATTTGTATATTTATCATACAATTTTGAGAATGCACATGTCTTTAGAATATGACCCTAATATTCAGACAAAGAGAAGACAAGGAATTGTTGCTTAAATTTCTAAAACCAAGACAGCTTTTGCTAAATCCCAATTTCAAAACAAACACGCACATTGTCACACTGACACACACACACACACACACACACACACACACACACACACAGAGAGAGAGAGAGAGAGAGGGAGAGAGAGAAATACACACTTACTAGTTAAAATTAAAAAAGATTGTAACTATTTTATATTTTAAGTCTTTTGTCAATACTGAACAATGTATGTTTTAGACAATAAAATATTAATATAATAATTATTAAACTTCATTGCATGATTAGATCGTACACTAAGCGGGCTTAATGCCATTATTATCTAAGGTTGTATATGATTTAGCTAGTAGCTTTACATTATTATGGCAGTAGCATGTATGTATAACATAGTTCGTTAATATTACTTATTCCACCATTTTCACCTCGCTATAGATATTATTGCCTTTTCATTATTTGCTAGCTTTTTCCAGCGATTTCGTCCATGTAAATTATAAACTTTTTATTTTCACGATCGGATCAGTATTTTCAAAGATTACTCACTACGAACAAATAGGAGTTAGAAAATTTAACTTTTTATTACATTATTATAGGTAGTTTGTTTTTCGTTTCATATTATTGTACTTATTATTTTTCATTATACCTACTGTGTTTTATTATATTCTTACTTGACATCTCCTGATGTAACAGAGTCGGGAAAGGTCGGTGCTTTCACTTCTTCTACAGCTCGTAGCTGTGGACTGGTGAATATATCTCGCTGCAATGGTAGGCATGATCTCCAAATATCCAGCCGACTCACTTTACTGCCACTGTCATGTTAAAAGATACATTATAAATGTCGGTATAATGCTAGAGAAGTTCAGTGATCTTAAAAGGCATGTTAGGGTAATCAGATATTGCATCATTTTTTCTGATTGCCAAAAGACATGAATAGAGAAATTCACTGGTCCTAGCAATTTTAACTGGCACCTTTTTTAATGACGCTTCACCGATAGTCTGGTGCGGAGGTGGCAGAGACACTTAGATAAAATATCCTCTCACGTTCGACGACCAATCGGGTTCGAGGAGCAAACCTAGGCTTACTGACTAATCTCGTAGACAACTTAAACGACCTTTTTTTAATTCTATGTTCGACGGCCATGTATTTTTTTTACTTACACTTAAAATTATTAACGAGGTTTCTGGTTGGTTGGATTCTACAAAATTATACAGAGTTATTAGTAGAACACCAGCAACCTCGTAAATAACAATGTTTCATCAACGAGTTTAACCATAGCACAATACTTTGAACAAAAATGATTAAAAAAAATTATACTATCGAGACTTTCATAGGTCTATTTTATATAAATAAAAGGACAGTAATATGTTCGCGCTGATGCTGAAGCAATGTTGGTGATACACGAATAATAATTAACATTTGAGTGGAGAATAAAATTAATGTTTTTGAAATGAAGCGAATGGGTTGGAAACTTTTCTATTTAGTCCGTCAGTCAGATTATAGTAAAATATTAGATACGTATTTTTTTACTTCAATTTAACTAGAAATGACTTCGATAACAGGCATTGGAGTTGAAGACTGGGAGCTCGCTACGTCATAGTTTTGTAGAAAATGTACAAAAGAATGACGTCATGTGACATTTTAACGCAATGTATCATCGCAATTTAATGATAACGAAAAATTAAAAAAATACGTGTTTAATATTTTTCAACAATCTACCTGACTTGCCAGTCATTTTATATGCATTACATACTAATCCTGTATGTCTTTTAACAGCCTTTCTCAAAGTGGGCGATAACGACCCCCTCTGGGCACTGCAGTCCTAAAGGAGGGCCGTAAAAAATGGTGGCGTTGTGTAGAGACTTGGGGGGGTGGGTGATTTGTAATTTCATTTTGTTAGGAGGCCTCTTAGAGTCGGCCTGCATTAGCTCTCGACTCTCAACTACAACTTGTGAACATCAATTAATTGAGATTGCTCAAACTCGGTTCGATAATTCTTTCCGCTTAGCTCATACTGTCTTATTGAATATATAAAATAAAAATCATGTCAATCGGGCACTTCATTTCGACATAAAAGTAGACACAAAGAAACAAATAAAAAGGCAACAGACATACTTTCTCGTTTCAATAGTTATTAGAACTCTTAGATAGGTGATTTTCTTAGATAGTATACCGCGGGCAATCTTGTTATAACAATTTTTTGTTAAATAACCCGTATTGTGGATTCCTGTATCAATCATCTGGTTCATATAATACTTGTTGTTATTTGTTGAGTAAGCGTCGAATGAGACAAACGAGTTTATGTATGTTTGTTTTATTCATGTCGGTGCATGCTGCTTATGCAATCCTATATCAACACGTAATATTTATTTTATCAATCAGTACCTACTTAAGTTCAACGCTTACTTATGTATTTCACAAACAAAACAATGTCGGAAGTAAAAAAGAAGAGACGGCATTACTGTGCGGAATATATTAAATTCAAACATTGAAAATCCCACTAACCTATTGTCGCCTTTGTGCCTTCTATGTCTAAAAACATTTTCGATTGAAGCAATGAAGCCTTCAAGACTACAAGATCATTTGAATAAAATGCATCCAGATAAGAAAGACAAGAATGTAGCTTATTTTTAAGACCTAGAGAAAAAAAACATAATACTCAGCCAAGTGTAGCAAAATTATTTTAGGCGGCTGCTAAGTAAGATGACGACGGACTTCGAGCTTAGTACAATATCTCTTTGTTAATTTCTCAATAAGGTAAATCATATAACATCGGAGAAGAGTTAAATTTGCCAGCAATAAAGAAATTTTTATAGCTACTGCGCTTCACAGACCTGTGTAAATTGTTCAACGAGATGAATGTCCAACGGCCACGAAGATGAACTAAATTTAATTAAAACCAAAAAATCATTGCTGCTTTCGCAGCCAAACTGCTGCTATACAAAAAGAATATGGACAGACGTGAGTTTCACAATTTTCCGAATTTATCAAAATTCTGCAGTAACGACGATTTATTTGCCTACTGCAACCATTTGGAAATCCTCCTTATATATTGACTTTACCGAAATGTCAACACAGTAATGTGACCTCAGCTGGAAGAAGAACTTATAGAATTGACAACAAACGAGGAAATAAAAATCAAGTTCTAAAATGGTTACCAAGAACTTTGGATACAAAAGCCGATACCACAACCCCAAAACCCTGGTTTTTGGCCAATCGTTCAACGATTCTTGATAGCATTCCCATCGTGTGAACGTGGATTTAGTGCTGTGGCAACACTGCTTACTAAAAAGAGAAATCGTTTGCATGTTATCGAACGTGGCGACTTGCGACTGTTCTTGAGTAAATTGGAATCTGATTGAGACTTATTAAACGGCATCAGATTCATTCTGCGCATTATTTTTTAATTAAAAATAAATTATGTTTGTTTAATTTTGAATAAAAGATACTCTGTTTTAATACTATAAAGTTGCGTTTCAACAATCATTTTCATTGGCAGGTGTAGCCGGTAAGAGTTAACTTGGGACCTGAGTGCCGTTGTGTGTTACCTACTGCGCTCAGGTTTCAAGTTAACTTTTGCGAGTTATAGTAAAAGTCTCGTTTAAAATTAATGTTTAATCTTCTCATATAGCTAATAAGCTAGTATAGCTTACATTAATGAATTAATTTAATTTGAAGTTATAGTGGTTTTTAAGTAGGTGAAAAGATGCGGGCGTTAAAAATAATTTATTATCAAAGTGGGCAGTAGACAAAATAAGTTTGGGAACCCCTGATCTATGGGAGAAAAAAAAAGCCCTTGCTGAGTTTCTTGCCGGTTCTTCTCAGTACAAGGTCTCCCGCCGTAGTTTTGCGAACCGATGGCGTAGTTTTCGACTTTCACAAGTGCTCTGTAAAAGCCTAAACTGAATAAATAAATTTTGATTTTGATTTTGATTTTTGATTTTATAACGATACAATCACAATTATGTGGTTATACTCATAATTGATATATTACGTTTGACTATATTTATGTTTTATCATTGGTGATAAATAAATCCAGTTGACTTTTTTTATACTCACATTAATATACGATTGTGCCAAGAAACTGGTGTTATATGGAAATGTTGTGTTTGTATCTTGTACACGTGCTCTGCTCTATTTTTACTCTGTATCACCTGCAAATGTAAAAATTCTAAATGCGGGCAAGTGCAAGTCGGACCTGCGCATTAAGGTTACCGTACCAATAACTATGAAAAACGCAAAAAAATCACATTTGTTTTATGCGAGCCCCTTTAATTACTGTTTTATTTTTTTTAGTTTTTGTTCTTAGAGTGACAACAGAAATAAATCATCTGTGATAATTTGAATTGTTTAACTATTACGGGACATGAGATACAGCCTGGTGTCAGACGGATAGACAGCGGAGTCTTAGTAATAGGGTCCCTTTGGATACGGAACCCTAGAATCTTTTGGACAAATACAATAAATGCAAAAAACAGTCAAACAATTGGCACAGCAATGTCAGAAAAAATACCTACCCCTTATGTACCGTTACCTAAGTTTTGTAAATTATGGACGATTTTACAAACAGGCCTATACGGCCTTCATGAAGGCTTCACCAATCAGTCATATGCTTCAATTCCAAATAAATGACATTTATTAAAGTTCAGAAAATAATTGTCTATTGACTTACAAAACGTATGATGCGTCGTCTGAGCATTATAATATGTAATTTTTAAGTATTTAATTTCAGTTAACAATAATACAAATATAATAAATCAAAATCATAGCTAAAAAAGTCACTGACACTGAGCTATTTGAAGTTAGAAGAAAATTACGCAAAGAGTAAATGTTTTACTTCTATCATGTTATCACCTAGTGCGTATGTTTTTGTTGTCATTAAATGGTTGTTTATTTTTATTTAAAGCGGTTCTATTTAAATTACATAGTTTATGGTTATAATTTCACTAATGGCTTCTAATTTGCCTTTTAACACTGGTTACCATTTAAGTAATACAAGATTACCTAAATAAATTCTTTTGCCTTCATTCCAATAGAACTAAAATTAAATTTTATTATAGTAATTAGAGTCGAATGAAGTTTATTAGCATTATTATAATATTATTGGAATAACTGATTGAATCACATTTCTACTGCGCCACCAGCGGGCAGTAGCGGAAACTAAGGTATATGTGTAGCTAATTAAATTTATTAAAAACGATAAAAACGATAAATGAATATATATGAGAAGTACCGTGATTTTACGAATTAATTTTATTTAGAGGCAGTACGGGCTATTTTTTTCAACAAGTAAACATACAATTATGTATTTAATCATGGATTATACTTTGATTGCAAAATACCAAATTTTACGTAAATAAAAAAGTTATTTAAAGTAACGATTACTACTTTTTCATTAGATAGAATAGTTCCGTTTATTTTCTCTTATTAAATCTTAAAATTAAAAGTATTCTACTGACCGATAGATGGCAGTACATGTATTAATTTTTAATGAACACTGAGGGAAGATAATGTACTCTTATGTTATAAAAGTCATTGAGTTCGAATCGAATATTGAAATAATATCGAGCTCATACAAAGAAAATGAAAATTGGTTCCTTAAAATATAAAAGATATTTTGTGGTCGATATACCTATACAAATTATTATTTTTATATAAGTACTACAACTGAATTTTATGAATATCTATTCAGAAATATAAAATAAATTGTGGTATACCAAATATCTGTTTATACATTATTTATCTACATAATTATAATAGTTAGTTACAAATAGAGTACAATACGTACAATTGATTGTAGAGACTTCGTTTTCCTTCATGAATATAATTAACGGAACTACAAACTGGAAAATAAAATGAGGTATTATAATGTGTGGAACGTATTCCACGTTATGTATTTTAATAATATAAAAATTACAGGAATATCTTTTAATGTTTTTTTTCGGTTCTGCATAATAGGGAATAAAGTAGTTCCAACAATCTAGATGTCACTACGTATTTTGAAAATTAGTAAATACGTAAAAAGTATTCAATCAAGTTATCTATGGTATGTGTTCCTAATTCTTATTTTTATTCTGGTGTAGGTAATCAAAGTAACCTTTTTTAAATACTTCATCATTGTTACAATTAGACCGATAGAGAAA